TTTATATAAATACACAAATTGTTTCTCATTTCAAAAGATAAAATGTTGTCGTGGTATAATTTGCATATGAAAGTTTCCCTTTAATAGTTTTAAATCACATATGATTCCTCTGATAAAAAGCGTATAGTGAAAGTTTATATAACACACGATAATAATCGAGTGTTTTACTTGTATCCCCCCCCCCCTTAAAATCATGTAAAAGTACTCATAAAACATTTAAAAGTGTGAGTTATAGGGGTATGAACTCACTTGATAGATTGAAGAAGGTGTGTCGGAAACCGAGCAGAACTTTGGCTTGAAAAAGCGGATTCTCTTGGGATTCTTCGGAATATCGGGAGCGTGAAACTTCCTTCGGGGCTTGAGTATAGGAACTGGGGCTTCGGGATAATTATTGCACAGAAAACGAGGCAAAACGCAAGAAAATCGAGAGAAAATGAGCAAGTTTCCCCGGAACCCTCGCAACCCTTTTATAAGGGCTGAGAGGCCTCGGTACGCGGGGCGTACTCATGCGTCATGCGTGACCGAGTCCTCGACTACCTCGCTTCGGATGGGACGAGACAGGGTAGTCTCGCATAGGGGCGACGTGGACGAACCGGAGCTAGGCCTTGAGTACGCGGGGCGTACGCCTGTATGCGGCGCGTAACTCGGATGGACCTGGTGACTCACCCTTCGGATAATACCGATTTTTGAATTAAATTTATATATTAATTATTTAGCAAACTTCAAAAATTCATATCTTCTTCATACGAACTCCGTTTTCGGCGTTCTTTATATCCACGTGAAGGTGAGACCATACTCTACAACTTTCGTTTAGATCCCATCAGCAAATTCCGAAATTATTTTTATTATTTATTTTTAAAAGGTCGCGGTAAGAAAATTTCTTTAGAAATTCATAACTTCTTTATCTGACGTCGGTTTTTGCCAGACTTTTTACCGTTGAAATACCATTGTTGAGACCTTCGATTCTCGTTTAGGTCATTCCGGTCAAAAGTCGCTCGATCTCTGATTCGAGTTTTTAGCCGTCTGCCGTTAAGCCGAACTTGAAAAATTCCTAACTTTCTTATACGAAGTCAGATTTGGGTGTTCTTTTTACGTACGATCACGGTTTAATGACATCTAACATAATAGGTAATTTAATTAGTGATTTTTGGATATTTTATTTTCGAAGTTAATTTTTTTACAACTAACGTGGTTACAATACTTGATTTTTTAGGTCGTTTACATGTAGTTGAAATATCGGGTTGTCACAGGGAGTATGGATCAGGTAAAGAGATAAAACTTGTTATTAGTCTGGGAGTATGGATTAAGACTAAGTTAATTGTCCCTAGTCCGGGAGTATGGATTGGGCACAGTTATTGATCCGGGAGTATGGATCAAATCAGGATTAGGGTATAGTTAATTGTCCTTATTCCGGGAGTATGGATTGGGTACAATTATTGATCAGGGAGTATGGATCAGATCAGGAAGTTAGTTTTAGAATCGTGAGTATGGATCAGGTAGTTTTAGATCCGTGAGTATGGATCACGTGAAAAAGGTTAGTTTTAGATCCGTGAGTATGGATCGGTGAAGAGGATAGTTTTAGATCCGTGAGTAGGGATCAGGTAAAGAGGAAAATTTTAGATACGAGAGTTTAGATCGTGTCATTGTGAGGATTGATGGGGTGGGATAAGAGTTGCTTTTATATGGTGAAATTGTACAAGTTTGAATGTTTTATATTTATAAATATATGATATAACATTATGGGATGAAAACCCTATATGCTCACCAGGCTCCCAAGCCTGACCCACTCAGTTTCCTTTGTATCACAGGTATCGATATGAGGACACATTTCACAGAGAGAAGTAAAGGAGATATAAGTCATTAGTGTAATTGAATGTAAGTTCTGTTTATGCTTATATGTCTGTATCGGAACATGACATCCCGAACTTTTATTGTTAAATGAAAATACATTCTCTTTGAGAAATGTTTTGATAAGTTATTATCATATCTTATTTCGGGAACAAATTCCGCAACCGTTTTCTTTAAAAGATTACTCTGATTTTATAAAACAAAGCGTAAACAAATCGGTCTTTTCTGGCCGTGTAAATGGGGATGTCACACATGTATATTGATAACTTAACAATCATACCATGTAGTTTACAAAGCTTCCCAACTATCAATGTCAGTTAACAGCCCAAAAATGGGAATGTACTTTACAAAGCTTCCCACAAACCACTACCATACCATGTAACCAAATTAGAACCAAACTTCCAATTCTACCAAGCATTATGGATAGGAATTGGAAGCTTATTACCAAAACACAAGTGTACAAAAAGTAGATGTTTACAAAAAGATAGACCTATTTACTAATGTCCATTTTACCTATTCAACACTTTAAACACAACTTCTTAACTGGTAGATGTTTACAAAAAGGGCAACCTATATACTAATGCCCTTTCTACCCATTCAACCCTTAAACACGACTTCTTAATCTAAAACCCAAGGGGGTTTGGTAGAACCACCACCATCAACATCTTGGACCATTTTCCTGAGCTTCAGTTCCTAATTCTTTTAGAGGGAGTACTCTTTTTCTCCCAATGGATATTGTAAGAACCAAGACCCAAGGGTACTGCTACTGCTCCAACCTCTCTCTCTCTCTCTCTTTAACTTCTTCTTTCTCACCCTCTCTTTTTTCAACTTCTCCTTCCCAAGCCTCTCCTTCTTTGACTTCTCTGTCCTCAACCTCTCTTTCTTTAATCTCTCTTTCCTAAACATCTCTTTCCTCAACATTTGTTTCCCCAACTTCTCCATAAACCTACAATATGGCAGTATAGTTAGTAAATATACAATATGAAAGTAAGAATTTAATACAATTAATTCATAGTTTAATACAATTAATTCATAGTATAGTTAGTAAACATCTTTTTCCTCACAACTTAATACAATTAATTCATAGTTTAATACAAAAAATACACAGTTTAAAATAACAATTTAACTATTTAATACACAAAAATTATATATTCACAACCATTTTCTCAACTTAAAATTTATATTTATCCACAGTCATATTCTAAAATTAAAACCTAAATTAACATTATTTGATAAATTACTAACATAAGAAAAATATATAAGTTCAAAAAATCCATGTATCTACCACATTCAAAATTTAAAAATCATGTTTTTCATTGAAGCAGTTAAATGTTGTACAAAAAATCATTTATTCATAGATTAAATCTTATAAAAATCTTGCATTCATAGTTAAAAACTTATTAAAAAATCATAATAATCTATATAAAAAAATTATGCATTCAGAACTTAAAACTTATAAAAATCAAACATTTGTAGCTTAAAACTTATAAAAAAAACATTGCATTAAAAGTTTAAAACTTATGTATTATTTCATTGAAACATAAGGTCTGTATAAAAAAAATCGTGCATTCATTTCTTAAAATTTCTAAAAAGAATGTGTTTCTAGTTTACAACTTATAAAAATAATATATTGACACAAAATTTATTAACAATTCCCAGCTTAATACAATGATTTCACAACTTAATACAATCAATTAACAATTTAGTACACAAAATTCACAACTTAATATGATGAATTCACAACTTAATACATACTTTATTCAAAATTTGAGATAAATCATATATGTGTATAATGCTTCTTTCATCTTATATTTCAGAAGTAAACACAAAATTTATATTAAAAAAATCACAACTTAATACAGTCAATTCACAACTTAATATAGTCAATTAACAGTCTAATACAATAAATTCACAACTTAATACAATAAATTTCCAGTTTAGTACACAGTTCATACACTCATTCACAGTTTAATGTAGTAGCTGAGATACTCATTCACAATTTAAAAAGTTATACTAATCCACTAAAACATTGCATTAAACATCTTGTATAATCAATTGTAAAGCTATAAAATATATCAATCTTACAATAAAATTCATTTAGTACATATATATTAATGTGTAACTAATCATTAAATTAAATTAAAGCTTGTATTATTCCACATAATCAATCTCACATTAAAAGTATTAAAAGTTCATATAATATGGAATTGCTAATTTAAAGTGTGTATTAATTAAAATGTATTTGTATTAATTATTAATATTTCCAATATCTTTGATATGTCGCTAATTCCAAAAGTTTATGAGAACCCCAAAAACAATTTATATTAACTAGATTTTAATACTTATTTTATCTAATGTATCATACTAGATTAAATTTAAATACGTCAGAATCCTATTCTATGCATTATGTCATACTAATTCAATTAAATATCCATATGTAAGACTCAGCAACTGTAAATGAACTATTTTTAGAAAAGTCTTGCAGAATCTCGATCTAAACAAATGAAGAAGAAATGATATAAAAGCAGAGAAAAAATAGATTGAATTAGATTTATTCAAATTTACCATTCAATTTTTTCCAGTATCTCCCTAACATCTTCGGTTGTGAAAGAATCATTTGCCGAAACTTTTGTAGATGTGAAACTCACAATCGGAACTCAATTACTCTGTCGTCAACACCACCAGATGCATCTCAGCAAAGCCTTTCTTGTTGTGCCTTGATTTTCAACACATATCTAGATCTGTTTCTTGCTAGCTTAACACTCTCAATCACATTTGTTTATGCAAATGCCAGTTCTCCGATGTAAAAATTACAGTGGAGCTCATCTCAATCTCAGCAATTACTTGCATATAGATACACATCCGACCTCCATCTTCCTTTTTTAGTTAGAAGCACATCAAAGGTGATAGGTAGCACCTAGCAATTGTAGACAACGGTCTGAGGCAGTTGTAGAGTTACGGTTTTGGTGATCAACGAGAGCAGTGGCGATGGTTGGGAAACGTCAGAGGGAGGAGACAATAAGTGCGACAACTATGGTGACAATGTTAGATTTATGACTTCTTGAAAGTCGATGGTGGAAATCGACGGAGGTAGGATGAGAAGGAACAGATCTGTAAATCGATGATGGTCCGTTGGTGGCAGCGACGACGACATGCAGATGTGGTGGTTCGACGGAGATCACATTTATAGAGTGGTTGTTGGTTCACCGGAGGCGCTGGTTTGCTCGCCGGAGAATGTAACAGCGGTGGTAGATAGATCTGATAGTGGTGATCGATTTTTGTCCGATTTTACTTCAAAAAATAGTGGTATTCCGTCGATGATCTTAGGATGTGACAGACGAAAAAAGGTGACAGTGGTAGGGTTGTCGGAGGAGGCAACAAATATTGGGCCGACACGGCGGCAGTGGTGATTTGCTAGATGTGGTGGTCTTGTAGGTGTGGTAGGAGATAAATGATGGTTGAGAGAATTTGAGTCGGTGGTATTTTGTTGATCAGATCTACAAAGCACAATATGATGTTATGACTAAATATTTAGGTTTTTATTTTAAAATATTTACTGTTACGCCATTTGTAATTTTAATAGATAAAAAATATCGGTTATAAAGTTCCAATAACTTTTAAAAATAAATGATTCTTATAGTTTTTAATCTTTTTTTGTTCTCATTAGAACCTTTATTTATATATATATATATATATATATATATATATATATATATATATATATATATATATATATATATATATATAAAATACAATTTACATCTAATTATTTAAATCTTTACAATATTAAATTGTATATGTCGCAAGACCGATGCACATCTAACCGTCCTTTTAAAAATGTGATAGAAATATAAACCCGGAGAATATTTGGATACGGTGGTCTTATAAAGGAATTGGGGCTCGCCGGAAAACCAAAACTCCGGTACCGGAATGAAGAGGTGTGAGCTGTGCAGCCACTTTGCTCGGATGTACTGCCAATCGGATAACGCAAGCCTCTGTTACGAATGCGATCAAAACGTTCACTCAGCCAATTTTCTAGTAGCCAAACACTCCCGAACTCTCCTCTGCCATAAATGTCAATCTCCGACTCCCTGGAACGCTTCCGGCGTCAATCTCGGTCGCACCGCCTCCGTATGTGTTAACTGTCTTGACGAAACTCCATCTCAACGGCGACTGTTGCAGGGAGGGGAGACTAGTGACCGTGGAAACGATGTGGTAGAGGAGAATTGTGATGTACATGATGAAGATGAAGACGGAGATACAGAAGATGACGATACAGAATCAATCGATGAGAGTGAAGATGAGGATGAGGATGAGGATGAAGATGCAGAGAATCAGGTGGTTCCGTTGTCGTCAGCCGCGTCGCCACCTGCTACCGGTTCTTCGTACAGTGAGGAGTTTTCTTCGAGCAGACTCTCATCTGATGGTTTTAGATCCACATCTAAACGAGAACGCCTGGATCCTTGTATCGATTCTGAGGTTCGCCTTTCTCTTTCTCTTTCACTTTATCACCACCGAAGTGTTGTTTCGATAACAAAAACCGTTTTCAAAATTCTAAAAGCATATAATGAATGCGTTGCAGGACGATACACCATGTTCATCGGAAAAATCCAGCAGTAAAAGGAGGAGGGAGATTGATGACGCTATTTCGTTAGGATATTTCAGGCCATCAGACAGAATTGGAGATCCTGGTGAAGCATAACAAAGGAGGATCGGGAATAGTTTAATTATCGATCCAAGTTTGCTGGCAACGATGATGATGACGAATCTCCATCGTCTTTTGGAGATTAAAACTGAACGATCGACACGATTATAGATGTGATTGCCTGATTGGATCGTCTTCTATTGATTCAATTCAAGTTGAACAAATCTCCCGTTCCAGTAGCCAATGGATAGCTCTTAAATTTCTCACACTGCTTTCTTCGTACACAGTTTCAAGAAGAGGCCACTGGGTATGATCTTTTGATGCCATTTCTCCGAGAAATTCAGTTGAAATCTTGCTTTGTTATTTTATATTATATTTGTAAGTTTTATGATTGATAATTGTTTCACCAAAAAGTTCATATACCCAAGAAGTTGTAAGGGGTTGGCATTATTCAATACAATGGTTACAAAAAATTCATCAAATCAATATTCAAATGTACACATATCCATACGAACAGGGTCAACTGTCAAGTATAAGCTAAGAAGATATTATAGATAAAAAATCAGCAGAAGATACAAGTGAAAAACAATGAAGTCAGCAGCTAATGTGCAAGGTATGTATTTTGACTTTCATTAATGTAATCAGTTTATGGCTGAATATGGTATAATTAGGGACATTGAAATTGTTCTTGATCATGTTTTAAAATGTTGTATAGATTGAATTGAACTGTGAATCTGCATGAATGGATTTCATTTCACCATGAATGATCTTGGAGCTCAAAGCTGGAAAATGCCTCTGAATTTGTGATCTTGAAGAAAGAAAGCTTAGAGGTATGAACTTGATCATCCTAGTATTCCTTTCAGTTTTCGACACAAGTTTCTGATGATTGACAATCGAATAATAAAGAGCTTGGAGTTTATTTGAATTTGAAGCTATGTATTTCCACTTCCTTTTAATTTTTCATGAGCGATGAAGGATTTCTCTATTGTAACAAGTAAAATTGATGATTCTATAATTTCTTTTATCTATAGTTCTTCAAATGACACTATCGTCTATGATTTGTTGTATATGGAGGACAATGCAAGTAGAGTATGAAATGTTTGACAAAACTGAATCATTTGGTGCTTAATGATTATAACCTCTTAATCGTTCAAAGATTTTTGTTTTGTTCAGAGGCTTGATCAAACAAATGCACCCATGCATCTATTAAACACCATGCTTTATAAATGCAAGAGTATGGACTTTGTAAGAGAGGAGAGGTATGGAGCTAAAGCAAAGTCAACACTCAACCTTCATGACAATTAGGGTCAATCACTGTTCCAACACACAAGGATGTGGTCCTTATGTGTGATTTACTCCAACTCATTAACTAGTTTATATATATATATATATATATATATATATATATATATATATATTATAAAACTATATTTTATATAAATAAACTCTAACTAGTTTAATAAGATACATATAGTTATAAAAATCATACTTTATGATATATTTTATAAGTTTTTTATTTATCCAATAAATATTATTTCCATAAATAAAAATTTTTAAATTTTTAAATTTTAGGCTTCAGATCTTATTTTGTATTGTGTCAACTTTGTACATGTCTAGTTTACAGTTAATTTCATCGTAATAAAGTTTTCACTTGTCGCATGTGAGATAGGAGTTTTTTTTCGCATATTTGTTTATGTTTAGGTTCGTAGCCTTGTTGTTGACTTAGACATATTCCTTTCTTAGTTTCCGTCAATCCTATATATAGGAAAGTTAGCTAGTAAGGAGGGTATCTTTTGCAGTGAATAATTCCCTACGTCACCATACCAAACTATTTACTTTACTCTCTAATGAAATCGTTGATCATTGTTACATAAGTGTGTTCAATCTGTTTGCTCATGTATTTCATTATATGATTGTTTTAGAATCTATTTGTTCTTGTAAATCTAACAAGTGGTATTAGAGTAGGAGATCTGTGAGTTGTCTTTCACTTCGATTTGAATTTTGTTCTTTTTTTACATATTTGATTCTAATTTTGTTTCTATTTGAAATTTTTCTAAAAATGTCAAAACAAGATTCTCATTCTATTTCATTCAATCTTCCTGGTAGTATTGGATTTACTACTAGGATTTCGATTCTTTTTCCTAAGACTATGAAGTTTGGGTTTTATAATTTGAATATAATGTTCTTGGAATTGAAACTCATGGTTTAAGCATCCGACACAATATAACAAAAGAAACTTACAAGTACTCAAAAACAAAAACTCAAGAGGAAAATGATAACATCATTGCTGATGATAAAGGTCTTGCATCATATGAAAAGGAAATTTTTTAGAATAATCTGAAAGTAACCAGAATCTTATGGTTTGCTCTTCTACTAGATACTTATCGATTGGTGAGTTCTCTTCCTACGGATAAAGAAATACGGGATAAATTAAAGGATTTGTATTCTAGAGATGCTGATCTGACTCATTCTATTCAAACTACACTTTTCTCTAAATTTGGTTCTTTTGAGTAGAAATATGATGAAACGATTTATCAAACTATTAATTGTTTTAATCATTTGTTGATTAGAATGTTTAAGCATGATTTAAAAAGAAAATCAATAGAAGAAAAAGTAACTTTCTTGAATTGTTTAAGATCTGAATGGAAACATATTGCATCAACTATCAAAGCACATAAACAATTCAAGATTTATTCTTTTACTAACTTTGGACTTAACTTTTGCAAAAGCTTATGGTTCAAAAGTTAAGAAGTCCAAAGTTGTTGATGATGATTCAGATTCAGACGGTACATATGAGGAATTTAGAATTGAAATTAAAGCTCTCGTGGTCAGGAATCCCAAGAATTTTTCAAGAAAAAATTCTCTAAGTTCAAAGGTAACAAGTCTAGCAGAGGTGATAATGGAGGAGGAAATTTCAAGAACCAAAACTCAAGTTCTGAAAAAGCGAAAGAATAATGATACAAGTTGTATAAAAAAATGAAAATAATGACAAAAAGCTAGTCGGAGACTCTGAATTTGATTGTATTTACTGTCATGGGTTTGCAAAGGAGTGTATGTTGAGTAAAAAACACATGAGAAAAAGGAGAAGATAAATATGAAGCTTATTATGTGCAGAAGATTGAAGATCTTCGCAAGTCAAAGCTATGTGGAAAAGTGTTAATGGTTTGAGAGAATGGTAGTGATGATGGAAAAGTTAAAGTGTGGTCAACAGACTCTGAGGACAATGAGGCGAGGAAGCTAGATCATGGTAGATGATACATTATGAAAGAAACCAAAGTTTTGAAAGAAGATAATGTTGTGAAAGGAGGCAAGTTTGTTATGGTCAACAACGTGAGTTCCAAAAGTCAATAATATTTCACGGATGAAGAAGCTAGTTTGGATGTTTGTTTGTCAACAAAAAGAGTTTATGAACATGTAGTTGAAAGTGAAAAAGTGATCAACATGGTAAATTCTATTCTTGAATCTCATAATAATCCTATTTCGTGTTACGATTCTGAACTACCTCAGTTAGAATATATGATTTTTGATTTTAGTGAAATCTTGAAACAGACTCGTATTAGAAACTCTAATATTGATGATAATCTTAGCATGATCTTCGTTAGGAATGAGGAAAGGTGGATGAAAATAAAAAAGTTGAAAACTGAAATTGTTAGATCTAAGCATGATATCATTGTTTTGAAAAGAGATAACAGGGTTCTTTTAAAACAACGTAATATATTTTGTTCAATAGCTAGGCGTTTCTACAATAATATTACACAACTTTATTTGAACTGTGAAATTGGCAAAGAATTGCATAGGATGATATTACCTTCACTAGAGTTTAAGGAAGAAGAAATAAATTTTGAATGTTATAATTGAGAGTCTTTGGTATCATTTGATGAATCCTTGAGTGATTCATACAAAATTGGTTTGGAAAATGTTGAAGAGATTTTGAAAATAAAATAAAATAATGATGCATAATGATTTAACAGAAGATGACAAACAACAAATCAAACTAAATTCAATGGAGAAGTATAACTCATTGTGTTAGAAAATGAAATCGCAACCAAATCAATCTTTTGAGAAAGATTCTGAATTTGATGAAAGCGAAATGAGTGAAATTTCTGTTGGATATGAAATTAATTGTTCTTATTGTAGCACCTGGTTTCCGGTATGTGAATTTTATTTGAGTATTGCCCAATTTTAGCCTTGGACTTGGCGAATCACTAGGTCCGACTCGCCGAGTAGGGACGAGACGCAGGACACGTTTAAGTTGGCGACTCGGCGAGTCCATATCCTGGACTCGGCGAGTCACCGCTGTTGGATGAAACCCTAAGTTTCAGGGGTTTGCACCCTATTTAAACCCCATATCTGCCCCTTGCCAGCCCCCATTCACCCCCCAGAGCTCCCAACCCTCGTCCTAAGCTTGTTCTTGTGTATTTGAGGCTCTTGTGTGCATTCTTGAAGGTTTTGAGGCAAGAAGGGGAAGGAGATCAAGAGAAAGGAGAGCCATCCAAGCATCATTGTGTTTTTCAGCTGTATCATTGAGGTATATCTCGTTTTTCCCCTGTTTCTATGCTTAAGATTTCATTTAAGGCACTCTTGAGCAATTCCTCAAGCTTGTTTGTGCTTAATGTTTCGTAATAAGTGGATTGGCCTTTAGATCTAGGCAAGATTGAGCTCCAGGAGCTCAGATCTGTTAGCTTTATGGCCCCATGTGGCTTGTTCATCCTAGATCTACCCTTTTGAGGCATTTTGAACCCTAAAATCCATATTAGTGAGTATCCACACGTAAAGTTGGAAACTTTACGTGTGATTTGTGTCCTAGAAGTCCAGATCTATGAATGGCATGGACTGAAATCGAGTAAATCGGTGTATTTGGTGGATGCATGGCGACGACTCGGCGAGTCGTATAGGTGACTCGGCGAGTCTGGTCGCGAGTCACCGAATTGGTCCCTTCATGATGTATCGAGTTGAGCCGTGAGTCACAGGGGGTGACTCGGTGAGTTGGGAGCTGAACTCACCCATGTTAGGACTCGGCGAGTCAATGCCCTGACTCGGCGAGTCCAAGGCAATCTTCATAGATCAAGAACAGACTCGGCGAGTTGTTCATACAACTCGGCGAGTCTTAGCATAAAGTGTTCTTCGGATGAAGATGAACTCGACGAGTTGTTCATACAACTCGGCGAGTAGGATGAAGAGGTTGAACGTCAGTTTAGAAGATGAACTCGTCGAGTCATAGCCCAACTCGACGAGTAGAATCAGGGACCCAGGACAATAGTTTGCTAGGGACTCGGCGAGTGGAGATCCACTCGGCGAGTCGGGTCAACTGAAAGTTGACTTCGATTTGACTTAGGGCTAGACCAGGGGTAAAATGGTCTTTTTACCCAAAGGACAGTTAGCAGTGTATGATTAAGTATATTGTGGGAATTGCAGCCGGAGGACTCCCGGAGCAGCAGCAGTCAGTTAGTTCCCGATCAGTTCAGCAGCTACTTTGAGGTGAGTTACCTTCCAGTAGTGGTGGGCCTAAGGCCACAATGCCGGCCCACCAGTAGGGGACGT